AAAACAAAAAAAGTTTTAAATATTAAGTTACTACTAGAGAAATGTGTGATTTGATGATAACCTGACAAATTCCACCTTGGGACGGCAATGATATATTTGGATAAAGTTCAGATTCATTTTCAAGTTGGCCATTGGTTCTCAGCTGTTTCTCATTGTCTGTGTAAAAATATCTGTGTAATGAGTCATTGAAAATACAATAAATTCACAAACCAAAAGCCTGAAATTTATTTACAGTGTATTTCAGAAACCTGTACTATATTTTACAAATGCCTAAGTAAATATTTGTACCCTCAGTATTCAAACCTCAGATTTCATTCAAATTTTAATATGTAATTGTGATTGGCTCAAAAGCTTAACATCATCTATGCCCATAACTGGACGTGCCTTTATCCAATCATATATGAATGTGATGTAGTGTATTCAAAATGAAAGTTGCTGATTGGATGATGGCAATATTAACGAGGAAATAGCTGCCTCAAATTCATTCTTGGTTATTTACACATTACGTTATTTTTATTCTGTCATTAGCACATTTCTTCAAATTAAAATTATGGTAGAAGGATAACGATCTTTGACAGTGAATTTTTCTTTCTGCCATTACTCTATTCTAGGAATACACCAAGTAAATTTTACTAGGCAAAGGTTCATAAGAATATATTTCAATATTTGACAGTCACTATTTCCAGTCACTATTTTGTTTGTAAAAACATTTTGAGACAGCTATGGTTGGATTTGTCAATAGGATTTTAACAGACGTTTTGAGTTAAAAAATATTTATAACGTCCCCAGGTTTCTGCTGTTCACTGTACACTGGATTAAAACTAATCAGTGAAAATATATTTGACAAATACATGTATATGATATTCATTGCACTCCATAGGCATGAACATTTTTTTGTGTATGGGAATTTATAAAATATTTATAAAACAACATTCAAGTTCATAAGAAGCACTTTCATTGGCTAATTGTCTTTGTAGTTTTCCTCCAATCATTGGCCGATTTACTGCTGTTCATATGAAAGTTATTCTATAGAGGAAGTGCAAATGCTAGGACATTGTGATTGGTAAAGTTTTTTTCAAATGTTGTTTAAAATATTTATGCTTGTATGAAACCTTGTTTTTAATTTTATCAAATGGCTTCTAAGAAAATTAAAGCATATTTTTAGGATTTATTCCAGGGTATATGCTCTATAAATATTTTATAAATTTTCATAAAAAAAACATTCATGCCTTCATGAAATTCACTGTAATGTATGTGGCAGTAATTAAAATGACATAATATAAGATATATGTAATAAATAAGCTGTATAATACATAATTTTTTAATTATTCATATTGGTAAATTTGCTGCCATTAATAATCAGTCTAGAAGTAAAATATATTTTAATTGGTGTGTTTTTTGGAAGAATTGGAAGGAAATTGCTGATGAAGTTCTGAAAAAGGGAGAGTTGTATGAAGACGACGAATTCCCTGCAATTGAAAACTCACTGTTTTTCAGTGATGAATCTGCTGATGGGATAGTGTGGAAAAGACCAAAGGTATTGTCATATTGTTGTTAACCAGTTTTAACATTAAAGCGCCCTCATAGTCGTCTCACGTCATGCGTTTAAACTTCATGTAAACACACAAAGTATAATACATGTGTTGTATATGTTGCATGGGACCCATAGCAAACATGATTTGATGTAACACACGTATGCAACCTGTGATGGGGCTACAGGAAAAACACCTAAAACTTTGTCGGTATTTTGGTGCGAAATTGTTTTAGGTCAAATTTGAAACTATTTTGTGTCAGTGTTATTTCATGGTGTGTATATATATATATATGGCATTCAAATGTATATACCATATTATTCACACAATATTCAAAACACTCACATATTTAATTTCGGCAACGATAGTTCCCAGCTTGTTTGGGATCTTAATTAATTCAAGGCATAAACGTTCACAAGAACTGAGACACAAAACCATCTGTGAACTACTGTTAGCATCCTTGTTGTCATCCTATAACAATTGGTAAATGTTGAGACATCTTTAGATTCACCAAATGCACATCTCTGTCTGCAGTGTCAATTAATATAATGTATTCTGGAGATGTGGTATTTTACTTCTCAATAATTTTTTCACAAAAGTCAGAAATTTAAAAAAAAATTGACCAAGCCATAAATTGCTGATAATTGTTTTTGCAGGAAATTTCAGACAGCCCTTCACTTTTAGTCGATGGTATCAGCCGAGATGATGTAGTACAGGGCATTCTGGGAGATTGTTGGTTTCTGTCATCTTGCGCATCAATCGCACAACACAAACGATTTATGGAAAAGGTAAGTTATGAATATTTTTAATAATTTTTAATGTATTAAGTTTCTGTTCCAGGGTTGTCATAGTGATAAATGATTGGAATTGGTTGAAATCAGCAATATTGTAGATGCCGAAGGATAGTATCTGATTCAGCCAATCATACTTCATCTTACATGATAATCAATTTCTGATTGGCTCATGCCCTTTTTTTTATGTGATTTGTGAGTGCCAGGGCATATTAATTTTTTGATAAATGATCTCATTATTGATGTTAGAAATACAAATATATCGACCTCTAATCAATTTGACAACTGTATCTTTTTAGTGTGATTAATTGATAAGGCATTTGTATAGCTGTATTGCTAGTAAAATAACGATGTTAATTAAAACATTATCCAGCGGATTATTCTTATGATGACAGTAATTGAATTAGAAAATGCAGTTCCTGCAGCAGTCATCTTAAAATGCAACATTTAGGTCACTAAAATTTATTTGAAAATAAATTCTGATGAATATTAGCTCTACAAAATCAATCATACATGAATTAGAACAGCTGAAGTCACTGCATATTCTTATACAATATATAACTGTCATTTGAGTTTATAAAAAATAATTTTACTTATATGCCTTTGTTGACTTCAGTCTAGAATTCTTAGCTTGCCCGTAATGTTAATGTAGGGAAAGGTATATGAGAGGAAAATGTCTTTCTCGTCGTTGTCGTCCCCGTCATTAACTCTGTTTCTTTTGGTTACAATAATGCATGCAATTTTGATAAAGTCAATGAAACTGTATTTTTTCAATTCAAATGAAGCATGTGGGTCTTCCAGGGTAGATGTTCTATAAATAAGTTCTATAAACATTCATGCCTTTATGAAATTCACTGTAATATAATTTATAAACCAATCTCTGTACTTGCAGGTTGTACCCACAGATCAGTACTTATGGTCATCTGGAAAATACTGCGGCTTATTTCATTTTCGTTTTTGGCGTTTTGGTAAATGGGTCGATGTTATTATCGACGACCGGATACCAGTTAGACGCGACCAAGTAATATTTGCCAAATCTAGTAATTCTAAAGAATTCTGGGTGTCATTACTAGAGAAAGCATATGCCAAGTAAGTTTTATGTTGTAAATATTATACTTGATGGCTTATTTGTGGAATGTTTTTGTTGAGCTCAATAGACGTAGGATGAATACTTTATAACTTTGTAGCAGTGAGCCAGGAACAGAACCATATTATCTTTATCTATAATTTATTTCATTTTATTTTATTATACTTGGTAGCCCCTTAAGTAGCTCATACTTAAAAACTAATGACCTAGCATTATTTCTACTAATCTCTCCATGGCTAGCCACTGGAATCAAAGCAGTCAGTAATACTGGTAATCGTTTTTTGTTTTTTTGCAGGTTGCATGGTTCATATGAAGGTCTGGCTGGTGGACAGGCATCCGATGCACTAATTGATATGACTGGCGGTCTAACAGAACGATGTGATCTCAAAGAACCGCGTGCCGGATTATTCAGGCAATTATTACGAAATTTCAAATACGGTTCCTTTCTCACTTGCAATAAAAAGGTAATTCAATTATTAATATAGAAGTTTGATATAGTAAATTCATGTCAAACCACATTAACCATAGAACCATAGAAATGTATGAAGTATGATTTCTCAGAGTGTGAAAATTTTTATCAGCATCTGTAATTAATGAGTTACTTTATTGGTTTTTACTTATCAGTGAAAATAGTGAAATTAAAACTCAGTGAATAATTAATGCATTTACAGTATTCGTAACTAAATTATCGAAAAATACATAAAAATGTGCAAAACAATGCAGCAAAATGTTCACAGAAAAAAAAAATATGGTGTCCATTATCATGGTAAATGACCCTCACATTTTATGTATGTGTTTAGTAGACAGCAGTATTTTGTTCCACATGATGTTAAATTAAAAGCACTATGTATATTTGAATGTATGTCTACTATAGGGTGATTGGAGAGCAGCTGACGAGGCAGATGAACATGGACTTGTGTCGGGTCATGCATATACAGTGACATCGGTGAGAAGGGTCCAGACAAGACATGGCGATTATGTCAATCTATTACGAGTTCGTAATCCATGGGGTAACGCCACAGAATGGAATGGCAATTGGAGTGATGAGTAAGTTTTGTAATTAATAGACCAACGCCTTGAATTTGGGTTATTATTATAATTTTATGATATTATTTATTTTCTTTCATTTTAAAGTGTCACAGTCATAGCAACGTCTTATATTTGAAGTCACATGACCTTCACAATGCATGTAAAGACACATAATCCACATAAAATTCAAACGCACACTGTGTGACAATGATTGCTGTACAATGATGTTCAATGTAGATTTTTTTACACGAACAACAGCTTTAAATCTTTCCCCCTCAAATCTCCCATGCCACCTCCTTCTTGAAAGATTTTGACTGGCCCATACCAACACATAATTGTTTAAACTGCAGACCACGAAATCATAAAAATCAGCGATAGTTGTAAGCTGAGAGAACGTACTTTTTTACCACTCATGTATTTGTTTTAAACGCGACTCTATAAAAGCACATATTGTGTAAACCAAAAATCTTATCTTAGCGCAATATGACACCTCTGTTATTTATGTAAGTGCATGTGCTACTAATAAAACACTTATGGTATTGATGAAATCATTATGTTTACAGATCTGCAACTTGGGACCTTGTGAGTGATGAGGTCAAAGGTCAATTGGAATTAAAGGACAAAGATGACGGAGAGTTCTGGTATGTACGGTGTTACGTGGTAGGGCAATAGTTGATTGAATACGTGGTAGGGCAATAGTTGATTGGATACAAGATAGGGCAAAAGTTGATTGAGTACATGGTAGGGCACTAGTTGATTGCGTGCATGGTCGGCAATAGTTGATCGAGTACATGGTAGGCATAGTT